CGCCATATTGAACAGAAAGGGCATTCACGGTGATGCTACGTGCGGGACTGGCCCACACGTAGTTCACGTGGAGTCGCGAGCAAGACACGCCCCGGGGTCAAAATATCATTTTGAAATAGGGCGCCAGGTCACGTGTGATAGCGAGGTATTCGTCCTTCCGGTTCATCTTTGGATTTTTCAAATTTATCCAAAACGCCTCAAGAGTTTTGCGCGTTGATGTTTTTCATTCCTGCACTAGGATCCGCACAGTCACTTCAAAATCATCTCCGTTATGCTTTTGTGCCCTATGCGTACCTATAGGGGTGTTTAAACGGATTTTGGCTTTCCCATCTAGATATTCTTTTATGCGGACACAAGGTGGTCTACCCGTTTCCCCCAATATATTCCTCGCCGCATGCATTACATGAGATCAAGTATATTATACCTGAACTCATGCAATCACCGTCTCTCCCGTTGGGACAGATCATACAGTTTTCTGAGCTGCACAAACGATCATAAAGACGGTTTCGAACTAACTGGCGGCGTAGGGTATTGGGTGAGATGTCAATAATCGTTACATAATTTTCAAGACCACTTTTTCTTAAACATTTCTTATTGGGTTAACTTACTTTATTTGATATGAAGGGCAGCTTAAAGGGGATCTTACTTTGGTCCGAAAAATGATTTTGTGAAACTACCCTACGTTTTTGTCTAATCCGAGTGGCTTCCGTTTCGTAGCCATTGGAAATGGCTATATTTCGTGCCAGGTTCAGCGATTCCTTCCTTTCCTCTTCTCCTCTGCACACACTTTTAGCCGTACGGTACATGTTTTTGATAAGTGCCTTTTTCATGTGTGAAAGATGAGAGGAGAGGCAGTGAACTAGAATGTTTTTACTACTTGGCTTGCGATACCATTTTGTTAAATAGCCACTTTCTGAGAGCTTTATTTGGACGTTTAAGAATGGAGGCCAGTTCTCGGTAAGTTTTTCTCGTGTAAATTTTATATACTCTGACTGTCGGTTTAATAATTCAAAGCACTCATCCATCTGTTCTTGTGTGGAACTGACGATGAAGCAGTCGTCTATGTATCGACAGTAGAGTAAAGGTCGGTGATGGAGAACTGGAGCTTCCACCTCAGACATGAAAGCGATGGCAAGGCTTGGTGCTAAACGCTGCCCCATCGCCAACCCTCTAATTTGTGCAAAATATTTTCCAGACCACCTAAAGATTGAACAACTAAGACACTGTTTTAAGAGGGTCATTAGTTGCGCAGTCGACAAGCCGTGCATTTTTATTTTCTTTTCATGCTCTACGAGCAACTCGAGAATGGCTTGCATTGCGGAGTCATTGGACACGTTGGTATAAAGTGAAGTAACATCGAATGACTCTATTATATGCGTGCTGTTTGGTTGCGCGCGCCTTAGGTGATCCAGAAATATTTTGATGTTAGGTAGATGCATTCAATCACCTCCAAGCGATGCTTAATGAAGTAGAGTGCATGTCGCATCCTTCATGGATTGATCAACGCCGAGAGCTTTATCGTTTATAATCTTCATGTTCTTTTCTATTTCGTTTCAGTAAGTCCAATTCGATCACGTTATATGAAACTTCACATGAGCAATGTTACAAGTTTTCATTTATTGCTGTGGAATCAGTCAATGAAATGTTAGCAATACTGTCGAATACGCGGAAGGTCCTGTTTTCACCATGCACAGGCCAACCGTGCTTTTCATCTTTCCAGAATGAGAGATTTGGCACAAGAATTGACTAGAATTAGCTTGTTCTGTCCATAAAAGCTGGCCGCAGTTTGTGATTATGATCAGGAGACGGCCTAACACGGTTATTTAGTGATTTCCAAGAGGATCTATTTTATGGCTGACCTTTTAGTAGGATTGAATTTGTTTATTGTTTATTTTTACGACTCTTTTTCACGTATCGTGCTGATTCCGGCTCTTCTTCTCAGTTTCATCTCGTCCTTTAAAGTGTTCGGATTTAAGAAATGTGGCTTCAGACGTTGTCTGGGGATTTTGTTTTTTAGATGAAGAAGGTCTTTGAATGGTGGTCGAGTATATTTTCTGGAAATCCTATAGTAGCAATAGTGCGGCATTTTTAAGTCTTTCCAACAAGTAGTTTCCATCCTTTGCGTATTGAGCGGGCTTTACAAAGACAGGTTTGGTACGAACTTGTCTATCCCAAAATGATGGGAGTTTGGTTGCCTGCGACTGTATGGAGTCGAACAAAAGCCGCAGGTGCATTAAACAGAACATCTAACTGCTGTGCTGCATGATCTCATAAAGTGCAATCAATTGTTGAGAAGGTACATATAGAAATCAAGTTGCTAGAAGAAAAACAAATCCGCATCTACAGGAGATTCTTTGCTGCAGTTGTAAGAAAGCTGATTTGATCCTCTCTGATACCTCATGAGTGATCCCCTCTGATACCACATAAAAGTGAAATGGTTCTTTTCGCAAAATCAAGGTTTCTTTCATAACAAATACAGAAGAGGTATTTGGAAAAACCCGGGTTAAAAGAAGAGTTGCGAAATGTTCAATAAAATGCTTGCGGTAACCCACGAACATTTAGGTTGTTCCGTCGATTCGCCTTCTGATTGCGTTCATACACTGTGGAAGATAAGAGATTTTTTCCCACATGACACATGTGTTTGCTATGAAGCCATAGGTGAGTGTCCAAATGGCTAATTTTTGTTAACATTGATATTGGTACGGTAGCCAGATTCAATTTGTTTCCCAATGGCTGAGCACTTTATTGTGATTGGAGGTGTTTGTGTTCGTCGAACTGTAATACTCAGTGAAGTGTCATATTCGCATCTGGGTCAGATAAGCTGAGAAGGAGCTCGTCATTTGAATCTTAAAGTCCAACTCGGAGTTGCTCTGCACCAAGGCAGAGTCCATGAAGTTTCCCAGGCTTACATCTCACCAAAAACAATGGAGAAAAGTCAGCACACCATAATGATAAAGCTTTTCGTGTCCCTTGAGTAAGCGGAGTCCAGTGAAAAGAACCTGCTGAGTGACAGCGACGATTGGAGTTTTGTGGTCCTGTCTGATCCACCCGATGATTGAAGGGATCACAGATAATTAATGTGATTAATTGTTAGGTTTAGGGTTTATGATGACCTGTAAGGTTGTTCAAATCTTTACTCTACAATGGCGGATATCGCCTTTAAAATCTGGAACTTCAAGTTGATATGAATCCTACTTGGCCAATTGTCTTAATGAACACACTACAGTTTCACAAACTTCATTGCCAAACACATGCTATACTGCCGGTTGCAGCCATTGTCCTAGTTGTCCATTTGATAGGTAATATGAGATCAGCTGTGAAGAACTAGAATACGGTAGTAAATGAAACCGATATCAATGAAATACAGAGCGAAGCTAAGTTTTATAGTGAACTAATAATTACCTGTGATCGCTTTAATATCCGTTTGTTGGATTCATTTTAGGATTCTGGTTTATTTCGAAAACGGTTTTGTTTACCACCACATCATGCTGGTCCTTTATTTTGTCTTTGTCTTAGCTATTTTTTATCTACCAGTGCCATCCCATTTACGGCTGATTACTGATGGCAATAGTAGATAGAAAACTAGTAGAGAGAAAGGCAAAACGAAGGACCCGCATGGCGTGGTGGTGAATGTGCTAGTCCCAGGAAAGGGTAATAGCGCATTCGTACCCCACCACAGACACTGGCGGTCGGGAGTTTTGTAAATGTCTTAGCATCATTGTGGTTGTATCCCACATAATACCTTGCCGTGAGAAGAAAATTGTAATAGGCAGCAAATAAAAAGTTATTGCGCCTTTAGTGCTTCACTCGTCAAAGCATTAACGACATTCATGTTAGTATTGCTGCTTTAGCGTCAATCACAGTTCTCGTCGTTGCGTTTTTCTACTTGATAGAAATCAGCTGAAACGGTTTCAAGGAATTTAGCTTTTTTATGAAAGGAGTTTTTCATACGGGTATGAGGCGATCTTCTCATTCGAGCGAAATATTCATTAATATATAATAGAATTGCTCCAGCTATCTCTACCTCTTACGTTGAGGTAATTTTTAGGGATTTTCTGTTATGTGAATTAGTTGTTCAGGAGCATTTGATAGTAGTCCAACTATTACCGCCGAACTTTCTAAATCTACTGCTCTCCTTTGGCGTAGGTAAACAAATACACTGAATGTTGCCGAACAGCCATTTTTGTTTATCAAAATGAGGTCCAAATTTTAAACCATATCGTAAGAAAGTGGACCAATGGTATGTTTGGGACTTGGCTATCTCTCCGTTCCTCAGTAGTGCTCCTAGATTTGTAGAAATTTGATACGGTTACCACCTGCACCAAATTCGGTGGCGTGAGACCTTCCTTTTTTTTCTTGGCTTGAAATGAATGAAAACGCCGTGTAGCATAGGGTAACACCTACGCGAGCTACCGTATTTCAGTGAAATTTGGGCTAGTGTTGTTATTTCATTAGCAGTGTTAAAAACTAAAATTACTATGTGTATGGCAGCATGCCAGGAAATATCCACAACTTTCTAAGATTATCTTACATCCCCATTTATCACCTGTAATTCCGTTAACCACTGAGTGGTACGGACGGCCAGCAGGTTCTCCATGCTGAAGGCGCACGTTGAATCTGATGGTGTTGGTGTTCAGTGTTTGACCGTCACGAATGAGAACACTAATGTGCTTAATGTGGGCGGAGACCTCATGTTTTTAGAGGATTATGCTCCTGTCGTGAATTCATCTCACGTATTCATCATCTGGTTATCTTATAATCCCCAATAGCACTACTACTTTTACCACCATCGTGTTGCTTTTTGTCGACTCACCGTTTCTTGTGGACTTTGTGATGGTGGAATCATGGCCTTTCGTTTCCCTCTCCTACGTTTGCAATGATTTCAGCATTCATACAAACTGAATTTTCAAAAGCTTTAAAGCGTAGTTTTTCTCACAGGGTTTTCTGAGCAATGCAATCAGTTCCGTGAACTTATATGGAATCATCCGTGTGAAAGGAAAATGTTAGATGCTGGCGAAGAACGAAGAGCCCTTGAGCGGTGGGTTATATCAATGACAAATAGTATATTCGTGTACCAGTTTTTAAACATTTTCTGAAGTAGCTAAACGAAAGCAGAATAATTGACAATTTGCTTGAGAACAAACACGGGGTTGGCATTATAGCACCTATTAGTCCACAATAGCTGACGTTTCGGTGGTTTCGCCTTGTTCAGAGCCGGGAATGGTCAAATTGAAGAGCAATCTACTCATCCTAACACTTTTAAACAGACAAAATTTAACGCATAAATTCCTATTCGTAATACATAAACAGTTTCTTTTAAACACTCACTGTTTTGTTCCTTGTAAATCTCTAAGTTATTTGGTGGTAACAGCCGGGCCATGCTCTTTAAATGGGCGAGGAACGTGCTTGGCTCGGTTAGGGAATAAGCCTGAGATATGGCGCGAAGTCACGCATGAACAAAAGACACTCCTTTTTGCGGTTTATTTCGAGATTTCTTGGAATTAATTCAAAACGTTTAAAGAGTTTTACTCACCGAGTTTTGGAATCATGTGCGAGAATAGTGGCTTTTGCTTCAAAATCTTCCCTATTATGTTTTCAATGAAAGCAAAACCGATGTATATGGAAAACATTGGTTAATGCTATATTTTGCAAAACAATTAAACTGCATGATGGGTCTGTTAGCAGATAAAAGTAAAGGCATGAAGCGTGCGCCATTGAACCACCACTTAAAAATGCGTCGTGCATTTGACTTTACTAGTCATCGTAGAGGTGATTGCATGAGTATTTGGCCTACACAACGACTTGTGGTGGCTCACTGATGTAACAAATCGGTGTTTTATCTTCACAGTCCATTGTGGCAATGATTTTCTGGCTCTGGAGAGAAGATAGCGCGGGTTGCCTAGCGTGGGGTTGAACCGAGGATCTTGTGTTTGCGCGGCGCCTTTAATCGCTACGCTATACGAGCCCTTCAGACAATGAAGCACACGTATGCGAGTGTTTGCGAAACAGTTCAAACATTTCGCAATGCTTAGAAATATGAGAAGGCTTAAATTTCTAGTACGCAATGAATAAGTGGTATTGATTTGTGGACATTGGCCTCAAAGAACTACTTCTTAAGGCATAAGCACAGGTTTTTTCTTCAAGTTAATTTCTCCAGACCATTGTACGCAGCCATAAGTCACAGTAGCAACGCTCCACAACGACGGACAACTCGCACACCTTTATCGGATCAAATACGGCAACTGAAAACGCAGCTTAGTGGAGGTTAAGGATGATTTCTTTTCTATTTTTTAAAGGCTTTTGATATTTTCCTCATGTCGAATTCTCAATGTTGTGAAAACCATGTCCTCTCTTTGGTTTTGTACTTACACTCTCACTCCCTTATTTTATTGGACCGTTGTTTTATTGGACTTGGATTTTTTCATTGTAATCGATGTATGGTACTGGTATTAGTGTATAAGGAAGAGAATTCCCAACGGTTTACCGCCTCATTGTGGATGAGAGGCGTTCCTGGGTGTCGCGCTGCGATGAACAGCGGAGGTATTGCCCTCCCGGCAGGGTCTCCCAAGCTCAGAAAAAGTCGGGCGTTTCGATCAGGAAACCTAGGTGAGGGCAAACCAATACCAGGATTCACCACCGTCCTGGTAACAAATTAGTCGCATGGTGGCAAATCCTACTCTTGGTTTAATGGCTTAACCAGTGAGTGTCCGAAAAATGGAGGTTATGCTGGAGCCCGCACAACCAATGAGGACGGCCCATTCAAAAATCGAGTAGCTAAGTATAAGGAAGAGATGGCGGAAGAGCCCTTAATTCTTGTGAGACAAAGGTTCCGTGCTTGAGTGTACGACAGCCCGGTTGGAACTCTTCGGTGAACGTAAACGTATTCTTTATTTGGTATTCGAGCGTTCAAAAATGAATTTCTGGTGTCATAATGGCTACGCAATTTAATTATTGGGGCAAAAATTGTAGAAAAAGCCCAGCTTCAATATTCTGGCGACATTCTCCAGAGAAAATCCAGCAATAGGTAATCACCAGTTTAAGCCCGAACTTGCAAACCTGTTCAGAAAAACGATAAAAAAACATGTTAGAAAGAAAAGAAAGCAGTACTGATGGAGAAACTGTACAATGTCCGATCCGATTGGACTAGAGCGTATGAAGAGCCAAATCGTTAGTTTTTATCAAAACGTGAGACGGCTTTTGAAATATCGCAAATGAGAACATTACCAGTCTGTGGAAACTAAGAGTACCATGTTGAGGACAAAACGAGGAGGTGTGCACGTCGGAAGCGACTATCCACCATCTCTCCTGTCTTCGCCTATATGTTTCAAGCCACCTATTGAAGGAAATAGCACTAACCCACACGAGGTCACCAAATTTTAAAAGGACTTCAGTACATTGGATTATAATCACCCGAGAGCAAAACTCGTTGAAAGACCGCTAAAGTGTAATGAACTGTTACCAAGGCATAAACGACTTTCGGCTTAGATGAAACATGGTACTCATGAGTCTTTAGGCAACTAAAAGCTTTCTGTCTAGTGCGCAGAATCTTTCATAAACTGTCCAACAGCTTCAGAGGGAAAACTTTACCATTCTGCAACAGTGATCACAGAGATAATGACATTGCTCCTGCAAACTAATGCGATCGTGATTAAAACATTCAAGGCAAGGGGCCTCAGTGGTGCAGTGGGTTGTACGTGAGTCCTCGGAAAGGGTAATCATGAGTTCGAACCTGGGTTTGGGTCCAAGCTTTGCAGATACCTTGGCACCATTGTGGTTGTATTCCACATCATGCCCTACCATAAAAAATAAAAGTAGACAGTCGATAAGTGAACACTCAAATCAACTTCTTAAAACATTACGCGAAAATTGAAATGGGGTAACACGGTGGTAGAAATACATGGAAGGCAATTAAACGATTGTTGCTTTTTGTTTATATCGATCTTGAGTTTTTTAAAGCGCTTCTGGAAAAAAGTGATCGCCTGTTTAGAACGGCCTTTATGATGAATAATAGTGGTAAAAGTAACGTGCCTTTTCTTTTCTGATGCCCAGGAGGAACAAATGCCTCCGAACTGAAACAACTTACTGGGCTACTCCTATACGCTGCGCGGACCACCAGCGAGCCAGCCGTTGGTGTATCTCGACCTTTTCAGCTTATGCTGTGCACTCTATACCACTTTCAAATTGACACTGTCGCTATCAGTGACACCTATATGTATTATAATGGTTTTGTGCGTGTGGCCGGTAACACACTGATACGAGTCGTTTTCTGTCTGGTGATTTATGTTAACACAATGAATTATTTTTCCACAGTTTTTATTACGAAATGGTTACCTGTCCTCTTAACGGTTTGCCGCTTGTCTCCAAAACTAAGAAGGAGTTCGATGTTACCATCCGAAGCCTTGCTGAAAACAAAGCAATTCCAAGAATCGCCACCGTCTTGGCTTCAAATTCTGGTCTCACATTTTGGCAAATGGCAGTCTGAACCACAAGGGCGGCGACTGCCTGAGGTGATGAGGACCCGTGGAAGGCTTCAGCTAGACTGACCTCGAGACTCCAGAAAACCAAAATGGTTAGACCAGCTAATCTCCGGAGAATGGACATTGTGCTACAGACCGCCCAACAAGTGAAGGCGGTTTTTCCAAGTGTTGGTAATTGGTAAATTGTAGAATACAAATATTGTGCTGCACATTAATTGGGAAAAAGTTCTATTCTACATTTAAAAACTTACTAGGTTGCCTCAGCAATCACCTGTCAACGGGTTTAATCTGGGTAGTGCAATTGGCATTGAACCTAGTTAAGCTTAAGTGTAGAATAAATCGCTATGTAGTCACTTTTTATTTACTGCCTATTTCTTCTTTCGTGACAGGGTATGATGTGAAATTTAACCAAAATGTTCGATCCTCACCCCAGACATCTGCAGTCCGGGGTTTGGCAAACATCTCAGCGCCATTGTGATTATATTTCACATCATGCCCTGCCATGAAAGAAGAATGGGCAGTAAATAAAAATTAACTACATTGTGATTTACAGAACAGCTTCAACTTAAGTCGGCTCGCCGTCGATTATTGCTTCCTATATCAATCCGTTGATGTGTGATTAATGATAGCGCCTATAGGCTAAAACACGGCTGACGGAAAGGCGAAATAAAGGACTCGCATGGTGTGGTGGTGAATGCGTTATCCTCCGGTAAAGGTAATATGGCGTTCGTTCCCAGCCACAGACACCAGCGGTTCGGAGTTTTGCGAATATCTCAGCATCATTATGGTTATATTTCACGTAGTGCCCTGCCATTAAACAAGTAATGGGTAGTAAATCAAAAGTGACTACATTATTGATTATATTCAAAGGGCTTGCAAGTCCGTAAAAGCTGGAAATTAGGTGTCATCGCGAGATGGTTGTAATACGGAGAGTTAACAGAATATAAAGTAAAAGTTTTTGCAAAAACTTCAGTACGAAGAAGAAAGCAAGAAGGTGCGAAACTATACTTGTTATTCTAATTGTGCAGAGGTCCTGTTACTATAGATGCTTTCAAACAGTTGAATGTCAGAAACTGAAAGTGAAGGCTGTTTTCTTTCTCTTTCGATAAGTATTTTATAGATCTTGGTATTGGCACACGGGAGGTACTTGGCAGGACTACATGTGATTCAGCACTCAATGATATCTGTCTGCGGCACGTGTCTTGTCGGCAGTTATGGCGTCTGTTCCGCTCCAGCTGTGGAGTAGACGAAGACAACCGCTGCACCATGACGGATCGGTTCGTATTTGAAGCATCGTAGAAACGGCTTGCCAAAAGCTTGTTGTACCTAAAACTTTTCAGAGATTTTAATCAGGAAGTGACTCTTTGTCCAACTAGCTTGCCTGAGATTTTATATTGATAAAAAGAATTTTGAAATTGAGTTGGTTTAGCGAAACATGTTGGCAGTCTTTCGAAGGACTTTCATGGACTGGCTTGGGAAAATGTCATTGTGAATCGTCAAATTCTGATTGCCACTGGATCCGTCTGCACACGAACTACAACAAGTGCATTCGTGAGTTCTCAGTTCTCAATGCCGAATTCCCTATACACTAATGTCAGTGATTCACAATGTTGACTTTTAACATGCTGCCTTTCGAGAATTTTCACGGCAACAACAGTGACAGTCAGTGAAACAACCACAATGATGCTGAGACATTTGCAAAACTCTGGACCCGCATGGTGTGGTGGTAAACGAGTTACTCCCCGGAAAGGATAATAGCGCGATCGTTCCCCAATTCGCTGCAAAAGGCAGTAAATAAAAATTCAACATTGTGAATTTCAACTATAGCCTCAGCTTAACTGGGCTCAATGCCGATTTGGGCTCCTCAGATCAATCCCGCTGAAGGGTGATTGCTGATGACAGTGATCGATAGAACTAACTGAGAGACAGGCGAAACGGAGGACCCGCATGGTGTGGTGATGAACGCGTTACTCCTCGGAAAGGATAATAGCGCGTTCATTTCCCACCGCAGACACCTGCGGTCCGGAGTTTTGCAAATATCTCAGCATCATTGTGAATGTCAGTGATTCACGAAATTCAGCGGATATAACCTGTGAACTTCTCTCGGTAGAAGTATACAAGGACATCATGCTTTTCGAATGGGGTTTTTTTCTACTTTTAACAAAAAGGTGCAAATATGTAACTCGCTGCTTTCTGCCGTGTGGACAGAGGTCACGGACATCCTTTCACGATATATAGATAGATAAGAGGTTTGTTTACAGAAAGAGGTGCTCTGTAATTTTTTTGGGCATCCTTATGCACAACCTATTGTTGTCCTTCTGGAGCTTCTATCTAACTTGACGCAGAGCTAGCTCATGGAAATGCTTGCATGAGAAGAAGACTACAATTAATTCAATATGTATTCTTTCTTCGATAAGCTTACACGAGGTTGGTAAATAATGTTTATTTACGGCTGACGTTTCGACGGTTTCGTCTTCATCAGAGCCGATGATCCGAGTCGGTGATCAACAGTTGTTCGTGTTCTCGAGGTGTCGTCTTCGCAGAGCAAATTTCTTTCTTCTTAGGAAATATTGTTATGCTTTGTACCAGCTTATAATGATACCGATTTCTACAGCATGAAGTGTCCACGAAAACAAATTACTATCACAGGACAATCGCAACTATCAACAGGCAGCATACTGCATAAAAAGGCATCGCCGAGTGAGCATGGCTCATTCGAGAGAAATGCTCCACTGAGGAAAACCGGACTCGAGGCGCGACGAAGACGCCATCTCGAGAACATGAACAACGGTGAACCATCGACTCGGATCATTGGTTGTGATGAAGACGAAACCGTCGAAACGGCAGCCGTAAATAAACATTATTTACCAACCTCGTGTAAGTTTATCAAAAAATTACATATTGATCAGTGGTACGAGGTTGAAGGAAAGTCGGTTTTTAAGTAAGATTAATTCATTCCGACAGAGGATACACCCATCAGCTGGAAGGAAGCCACGTTGCCTCATAAATAACCGTACCTGGTTCTTAGCAGAATGGAGAATGGGTTTGTTAAAGATTTCCTCCATTAGATCACATAGAATAATATAAAAAGGGGCAATTGCTCGAAGGCTCTATCTTTGAGGCACGGAAAAAGTAGTAGTGTATTTCAGATGAGATTTTCAAATCGGGAGGCCGAATTTCGTTATTGGGTTTTACTGATCGTTCAAATTCGCATCATCGTCACCCAACACAATTAGTCACACCTGATCAGTCTAGTGACATTTGGGAGATGACAACTACGGTTGAACCTGTACGTCCAGCTACTAAACGGACTACTACGAAGACCAGCACCACCACTACGACGAAAATGCCAGCAACGGTAGCAACTACGACCCCAACCACAATCACTACACGACCGCCAACTACAACTAGACGAAGGTGAAGCTTTTTTTTTTGGTAGACCTTGATAAAGTTCCAAGTATCGAGTGTTGGTATAAAGACAGGAAAGTTTCCAATATGATGTAGTACACATTTTGAAAAGCGTATCGTTCTTCTAACTCTGAACTTCGCCAAGCTTTATTAAGTGGACAGTATTCAAATGCGCTACACTGTGCTGAATTACGAAAAGTACTTCGCTTTTGTAGCAACGGGTCGTACAGCACCTTCCTTTCTAATCAGCGTTTATAAATTTTTTGAAAACTTTTATTTACAAGGTTATTGAATATCCGATTTTGCACTGAAAGCTGAGAAAGTAATGACTCTTTAGAATTTAGCCTTGTCAATCAGAGGAAAAAAGAAAGCAATTACTGCTTTTTTGCCAAGGTTCCACAACTTTAGCCATTCTATCTGATATATATTTTGGTCTTCTAAATATGGTAATGTTGCGCACGTGGCGCAATGGTCGGAGGCGCCCTGCAACACACGTGGAATCGATCCCTGCGTCCATGATCCACCAAGCCTTCCATCTCTCCGGAGTTGGCAAATTGGTACCAGATTTTTCTGCGAGGATAACAGGGCTCGACACATCGGTAGGCCGAGTCATTGTAAAGGCTAGATATGCACTCAATCACCTCCAAACGATGCTAAACGAAGTCGAAGGCATGGCGCACCCATCAATGATTGATCAGCGCCAAGAGCTTTATCCCTAAAGTCATCATGACCTTTTCTATTGAAAACTTCAATTTCGGAAATTTTTTTTTGCAACACACTTTTTCAAGAACAGCCCAGAAGTTTGTTACCTGTTGCTAGGTATCCAATTCGGAAATACTGGTCATGTGTGTTACAGTACTATCAAGAAACACATCGTTTTTGTTGCATAGAAGGAGGGGAGCGGCTTACCCAACGTCGAACTCTCTGCTTTTCACTCTGTTTATGCTGAACAAGTTCAGTGGATTTTATTTTATGACTTGTATTTCCGTTGAATTGTTCCAGAAATGCTATTTTCCATACTCCTAGTATTTTCTGATCAGCTTCACTTACCATCTTCAAATGATTACCAGCCTTGACAGCGGGACGCAATTGATCCTCGAAGTTGATGACTTACATATCCACAAAACTACTTCCATCAACTTCGTACCGCGTTATTCTAACGGTTTTCTGGCCAAATAAATCATCGATATTGCGAGTCCTTCCGTGGTTCAAGTTCCATACTTAGATTCACACTAAAAGATAGTTTTAATCCAATTTTCGTCATCTAATAGAGGACTGCTTACTAATGTTTAATTCGAATAATCAATGAAAAGGGGGCGTGTGGTGCAGTGGTTGGAGGCCCCACACGTAGAATCGATCCCCGCGCCCATGACCCATCAAGCCCTCCTTCCCTCCGGAGTCTGCAAATTGGCATCAGACCCAACTGCGAGGATAGCAACACCGATTCGGTACATTAATAGGCCACCACGAGTGACTGCATAAGCCAAATATGCATTCAATTACCTTTAACGATACTTAATGAAGTCTAATGCATGGCACATCTCTCAGGGATTGATCCACTCCGAGAGCTTTATTCTTTTTTAACTTGTGGAGATGCCTCATAAACCTGATATGGTTGGTCTGCCGAAAGGCATCTATTTTCTCCAATTTTAGGCCATCCATTAAAAATTAGTGAAATTCTGTTTTGTGGGATGACTACCACATGCAGCACTATTCATAGGATATAAACGGACTTTTACGACAAATCTCAAATTTAGAAGTATCCTCCTTGGAATGCAATCACAAGGATGCTGAGTTATGAGCAAAAATAATAGGACCATGTAATGAAAGAAGAATAGGCGGCGAATAAAAGTCTAACATTTTGCACACTTATATTCTTTTTTTGATAAGCTTACTTGTGGTTGATAAACATTTTTTATTCGGCTAGCATTTCGACGTCTTCGTCTTCATCAGAACCGGTGATTCGCAGCGATACTCCACGGTTCTTCTTCATCTCGATGCGACGTCTTCGCCTCGCATCGAGTTGTGTCTTCCTCAGCGGATCATCTCTTTGAAGTATTGTGCTCACTCATTTCTAAGGCAGAGTGGATATCGGAACTAATCAGTATGGAAGTAATAGAAACGAGCAGAGAAGAACTGTCCATTAAATTATGATACCAAACAGTCATCGACATTTGTTGGTTTTTTCTTATCAAGAAGAAAATTGATGCATGTAATCTTGTGGGCTTTACAATATTATTACTTTAATCCTAATATATTGGTGACTGCCAAATTTCAGTCGCTCACGCGATGAACGTGACGCCTACTAATTCGTATCCACGCGGGCCTGGCAAAGAATCTGCCATGTACGAGTTGTCCATTCGTACGAGTTCTCATTAGCAATAGTCTTTGTGGCCTCTGTCAGTACAAAAGGCAACTAGTCCACGCAGCATTCATGCCGACCATCACTTATTGTAGAACCGTTCACATGTGTGATGATTTCACCGTTTCTATCTCCTCCTCATCACCAACGATTTCTGTGGTGTTCCCACCACGGAATTCAAACCAGACGAACAACTCGTCTAAAAGACGAATTTCGTAACTTATTAAAAGTAGGAAATAAGTCTCCTCGGTAAATATGTGGCACATAATTTGTTAAAAATGCCATTGAGTAAATACGAGAATTGTAGCGAAACAGCTTATAATCAGCAAAATAAGTAACCGAGAAGAAAATTAATCATGTCGATCAGTTTGCTGTTGAAGCTTGAGTCATATATGAATCATATCGTCACTAGTGTGTTGTAAAAAAGTGCAGTACAAAAATAAGCACGATTCGGTAATATGCGTGTGAAATTTCAACTAGGATTCTAGGTCGCCAAATAAATTAAGTAGTGGTTCAGCACGTTTGCAAATTTCTAACCAGAGCGAACCTCTTATTTTAACCCTTTGTTACGTTCTATTTAAATGAATTGATTTGTATTCTTCAGTTCTTGTAGCGCTTCTTTCGATGACGTAAGAAACTGTTCAGTATGAAAGCGATGACCACATACAAACCTCAAGTTGAACACACAACGATGGCGCCTTTGTGGAATCCGGGTCGAATTGAAAATCGGCCACCAATGTGGACAAGCACTCTACCACCGTGGTTCCAAACTAATCTATCTGGCTCAATATACCAACATTCAAATCAACAACGATATATCGT